AGGGGCCCTTGTGATCAGGGGCACTTAGTGTGATCAGGGGCACTTAGGAAAAATGAAAATTATTTTGGAGAAAAATACTTCATTTTTTAACTATATTTTAAATTAAAAATAATTAAAGATCCCAAAATTACAAAATTATTATAAAATTTATTTCTCTGAGTTCTCTAGACTCAGAGCGATTTAATAAAAATATAAAAATATGATTTATTTAATTAAAACATATTTTTTGTTGAATTAAATCACTAAAAATAAATAAATAATTGTAAAATTAAATTAAAATTTAATTTGAAAAAACATGAAATTTTACCTAAGTGTTTCTCTGACCTAGGCGAACCTCTAAAATTTTTCCGATAAACAAAAACTTTATTTTGATTGATTAAATAAATTAATATTGAAAATCTTTTTTTCAAAGTTAAAATAATTATTTAAATTAGATAAAAATTTGACAACCCACATTTTCTTCTTTGATGTTTTAATTGCCCCATAGACAGGGTACTTTAGAATTTCCAAAGTCATTTAGATTATGCTTAATGAGTTATGAAGTGAAAGGCCCTAAGGGAAAAATGGTAATTTCATATTCTTGTGCCTTAATCAAAATTTAGGATTAACTGAAGGGCAAAATGGGAATTTTGTTCTTAATGAATTTTTTTGGATGATTGAAACACAATGGGTTAAAAGGTAGAAACTAAATTTCCACCTTGTCATGATATGAGTAAAATTATAATTTTCTAAATTATCAAGATTTGAAAGTTAATCAAAATCAAATGATTCTGAAGTGATGGGCTTAGGCTAGGAGGATGATAGCTCACTTCTTTTAAGCCCGTAAGTGATGATAATATGAAATTTTAATAAGGATATGTATGACATAAATTAAAGTTTTAATAATTGCACATTCTCCTATTTAGATTCTTAAGGGCTTGGTAGTGATCTAGGCTCGATATTTAAACTTGTTTGATGAGATTTAAGAAAGAAGCAAGATGATTGATGATCAAAACTTCTCAATCCTGCAGACCTAAATTTAGTGGTGGGTACAAAATCTTTAACGACTTGAACTTGTGTTAGGGGCATTCACCCACATAACTATTAAATTAAATATCAATTGATTAATTGGATACCATGTCCTTGGGATGATGAAAATGTCAAAGTTCATAGAGTAACAGGGTAATTTCAACTTGACCTTGGATGATTAATGGAACAATATGATAAGTTTAAAATGAACTCGAAATGTTTCAAGAGATCTTTAACTTTTAAGTAGTTCAGGGTCATTCCCCGAACAATTTGGAATCTCTTGGATGTTTTGGAGGACAAATTGAACATGTTATATTTTGTTCTATAATCATCCACTAAGATCTTTTGGGTCTCAATAAGTCATAGTTTGAAGTCTGTTAGATACACATTCATCTACTCTTACAATTTATTTAGTTTCCTGCAAAATTATATACATGTTGCAAAAGCTAACATTTCAGCAGGGCCGAGAAGGTGACAAGTATGCTTTTATAGTGTTATTTAATTTCTGTCATTTTACTTTCTGCAATTTACTTTTGCTACAAAATATTATAACTGCTTGATTTTGCACCTTATTTTACTTGCAAAACCAAAACCATTTTAAAAAATTAATCAACATTTTTAAAAATCTAAAATGATTTGTTTCAAAGGTAACTATAAATCTTTTGAAATGTCACTAAATATAAAACATCCTTTTGAATTTACGGGAGTCCCTCGGAGGAGGTAACCCATGGTTGTCAACGAGATCTTCCCGGTTTAAATGGGTTTCACAACTTGTTTAAGCTACGTAAATTCAAAAGAAAATAGTGACCCTGGAACGAGGGAATAGTGGGATCCTAACCGGTGTTGCTCTAATCATTTTTAACCCCCGTCCCCCATAATGGTTGAACTTTAAACTTGTTATTTAAACCTTTAAACCTTAAACTTTAAGACTGCAACTTCGTTAAGGAGCCTGGAGTTAGCATTGTGGGTAGCCTTTCTACTACAATATGAGGATCTACAACAACACATCTTTTCTTAGAATTAAACAACGAGTCATAGGAATTCTAGGTTGTTCGCCCAGTTCGACATAAATCGAGTCATTGGAATTCTAGGTTGTTCGCCCAGTTCGACATAAATCCTCAACTCATTTTTAGGCTTTTGAATAGCACTGTTATACAATTTAAGCTCTAACTCACCTTCGGATTCTGAGGTTTCCGTTCGTCGTGACCTAATTCCTCACATCTTCTAGGCTATTTGTGCGATCGTCTTGCACAAATATAAGCCCTAATTAATAAAATTGGTAGGATGAAACATCTAAATAATTCTTTTCTCTGAAATTGAAGTCAAATCATAGAATAGATAGCTTGGGAAGTCATTGTGGTCCTCCTCAAGATTTGTGACCTACCCTAGTTCTTTCTCTTTTGGATTCCATAATAAATGTTTCAAGTTTGAGTCATTCCCATTTCACACATTTTTGTTCAACTTATCCTCTTGAACTCCTTGAAGAAAATATCCCTTGATTTTTATCGAGAGTTTTCTTAGGTGACTTCGATTGTCTAAGATGTAATTAACTATTGGTGCTTGACCTTATAAGAAACATTTAAGAACCCAACTTAATATAAATCCTATTTAATTTTTCGTATTATATAGGGGAACTTTTCGGTCAACATAAAAAATGGTTTTTCACAGACTTAAAAGAATCTCATAAATTCTTTAGCTTATTTAATCTAGTCTTACCAGTGAGTAGTGTATTTATCTTTTGGGATAGATGCATTGCTTGCAGTATTATACTTGTTTATTTAAACTATTGAGGATATGAGATCAGTTCGGTCTTGTATTTTTAAAATTTAAAATACTACTTTTTCCAAATTATATATATATATATATATATATATATGTATATATATATATGT